TGTATACGCATGTTATATAAATATTCAAATTATAGGCCTACAATCAACAAAATACTAGAATTTTTTTTTCTTTTTATATAATACTGAAACGACAATTGGTTACTTGTCACACTCCCTCTTAATTTTCAGCCATTGAATCGAATGTGTCAAAGAAGATCGATGGTCAATAATTAACAAAAGTGTATGAAAGACAAAAATAAGTGTGTAAATAACATTATCCTATTTACTCTCTGAGTTTAGCATTAGCAATTGAACTCCCATTGTCCCTATTCAATTGTAAAAGGGTATATACAAATATTTTTCAACCATTTAAAAAATAATAATGCTATTTAAACACAAACTTACCCCGCCTTAATAATAGTTCTAATTTTCAACAATGTGATTAATTTTGGGTCTATAGAACTTTTTTTTTAAATTTTTTTGTCAATAACATTTCTATTCATAAAAACATGAAGAACGAGATGGTCGCGAGCCAACAACTGGGACATTGACACTCTCAATCACTATCTCATCCAATAGCAATTGTTCATTGAACATGCACTTATTAAACACATAACGAGTGGTTGTTTGATACTGATGTCAATAACACCAAAACTCGATTACATGGGAGAACCTCTCTTAGAGGACTGGTGACTAATGCTATCATGAGCACAATTGCTTTTATCTTTGTCTAATGGATTGAAAAAATCCTGTCGAAAATTTATGCCTAATGTCAAGTTAACATTAGAGAAATAATTTCCAAACGCTCATTTTCTTCCTTATTTTATTTTATTTTATTGTTTTGAAGTCCTCTGTGGTCAATATGGTATAACTGGTAACCACACCATCCATGATTATTTAGTACCGATTTTTCCAAGGAATAATAATACTAGAAGCACAAGCACTCCAATAAATCCGTAAACTCTAGATACCAGCTAATGTTAGAAAATCCATATCCAAAAAATATACGCCAATATTGAGGACCTTAAGGGTATGTTCGGGGTAAGGAATTCAAACCGCGTTACTGAAAAATGTAGTACAAAGGCCTGGGCAAAAAATACCGAGAACTGAACCAAACTCGGTCAATTCGGTTTTTTTTTTTCGATTTATTCGGTATGGGTACAAGATCGGTTCGGTTTGATGCTTAATCGGTTCGGTTTCACTTTTACGTTCGGTACTGAACCATACCGAATCAGTTTTTCAATTAAAATCATCGTCCATGTGGCTTGTTTTTATTGGTGCTTATCTGAGTTCACAAGGACTTGGTCACACCATAATGGATAATCTGTTTGAATGTTTTAATCAGGTTGTGTGAATATAGGAGAAGTAGTCTATGTATGCTTTAATCAGGTTGTATGAATATAGGAGTAGTCTATGTATGCTTTAATCAGGTTGTGTGAATATAGGATAATATGTGGAACAGATTCAGTGCTTCTGTGAATGTTATTGTGTATGCTAGATTGACTTGTAATTGTAATTAATATTTTTGTATTGATTGGATGCAGGCTTTGGACCATGTAGATTATGTAGAGGATGCAATTGATTTGGAATATGAATCGGGGGGAAGCAAAAGTGAGACCGAAAGTGAAGGAGATCAAGAGGAGGTAAGTGTCTCCCAACTCCTACACGGTAAACGTAGTAGGGTTTGGGAGCACTTTAGGCCTTATCAAGTTAAGACCCTAGTAAGCCTCAAGGATTGAGAAGGGAATGTTGTAAAAGATGGAAATGATAAACTGGTAATGGTTCCACTTGTAAGACTTAGGGTTAAATGTGTCTATTGCCCGGAACATACAAATGATGGTGACTATGCGGCCGATTCAAGCATTAATGGTACATCCGGAATGAGAAAACATCTTAATCGACAATGTAAATTTTATCAGGCCAACTTGAGAAAAAATCAAAAAATTCTTTATGAGGATAAGAAATGGGGTAAAACTTTGGTTACTAGGGAGTTTAACCAATCCGATTGTTTGGAAGCATGTGTAGAGATTGTTGTTCTTGATGAGGTACCCTTTAGTACCATTGAGAAGATCCATTGTTTCGTGTGCCTTCTAGGAGGACTCATGTTAGAACTTTCCTTAGAATGTATGCCCAATCCAAGGATAGTTTGAAAAAGGAATTGCATGCACGCCGAATCTCTCTTACCACCAACACTTGGACAAGCACTCAAAACATCAATTATATGGTCATCACCGCACACTTTATTGATGATGAATGGAATATGCATAAGAGGATCATTAATTTTTGTCTTATTGCTAACCACTTGGGAGCCACAATAGCTAAGTTGATTGAAACTTGTTTGTTGGAATGGGGCATAGATAAAGTACTAACAATCACAGTGGACAATGCTTCCGCAATATAAAGTTGCATTGGATTAACTTAGGTCAACGATGAATAGGTGGGAAAATTCACAAGCCATTTTGCATGGGGAGTATTTATAGGAGAGGTGTACCACTCACATAACCAATTTAATTGTGGTTCAAGGGATGAAGAGACTAACCAATGGCCTCTTAGCCATAAGAAATTTTGTAAGATTTGTAAGGAGCTCTCCACAAAGGTTAGAGTATTTCAAGCAAGCTGTGTTTATGGAGAAGTTAACATGCAAAGCAAGTGTTTGCTTAGATTGCCCCACAAGGTGGAATTCCACATTTCATATGTTAGAAGTAGCCATAATGTTTAAGAAGGCCTTTGCTAGGATGGGGGAGGAAAGTGATACTCCTTTTAGCGTGTATTTCAAAGAATTTGAAGAAGAAAATGACGAAGATTGAATAGTTGCTATTAAAGGTCAAAAAAGGGTTGGACCACCAACTGGAGAAGATTGGGAAAAAGAGGAGGTGTTTGTTCGGTTTTTACAGGTTTTCTATGAGGTGACATTGTGGGTGAGTCATTCTTTGATCCCTACGGTTCATATGATGTCATCAAAATAGAGACGACTATCAAGAATTTGATTCCCCCATCCAATGTGCAAACCAGTTCACCAACGGAGGTACTTTTGAATCAAATGGAAACCGACATGAGAGCAATGTATGACAAATATTTTGGTTCTTACCTTCAATTGAACTATTTGTTAGTGGTTGCTCTTATTTTAGATCCAAGGTTCAAGTTAAGGCATGTCACTCATCTCCTTATAAAGCAATTATTGGAAGTTGATGCTCATTTAAAAACTAAGGAGATAAGAGATGTGTTGGACACCCTTTACAAGGAATATGCCCCAAGGGTTGATTTGGGGGAAAGAGGAAGAGAGGGGGGTGGAGCACATGAAGGTCCGCACACCTCCTCACCTCCTCGAGAGTCTTCTTCTACTTCATTTATTGTTGAATCCTTTGAAGATGATTCTGTAGATGATTGGGTTGATTTTGTAGAAGATAATGAAGAGCAAGTGGTGGGAGATGAGGTGGATTCATATTTGTTGGATCCCTTGGAGAACGTGGACAAAGAAACCAAGGGCGCTTCTAAAATTCTCTCATGGTGGAAGACTAATGGTTGCAAGTATCCTATATTGGTGGCCATTGCAAAAGACATATTTGCTATTCAAGCATCTACCCTGGCTTCGCAGAGTGCTTTTAATACGGGGGAAGAGTCATTTCGGATTTTAAGAGTTCTTTAACTCATAAATTGGTGGAGGCCTTAATTTGCATGCATAATAGGATGAGGGGTGATGGTATTATCACCTTCGAAGATGATGCACCTTCGCTGGAGCACTTAGAGTATTACCAAAGTATTGAAGCAGGTAATTTCTTATTTCTCTTCTTAGTTCTTGTTTGTTATAATTTTTTAGATTTTATTCTTTTGTATTTACTGTGTATATTTTTGTATTATGTAGAGTTGTTGACATCATCTCTTCTCTCTCTATTAATAATCCAGAACAACAAGCACCGTCTTCACAACCTCATGTCCAGCCTTCTCAAGCATCCGCTTCACAAGCGACCTCCTGGAGCTTCAAAAGGTGCTCAATCAAAGGCCCCTTCAAAGCCTCACAAACCTCTAACCACCAAGGGTGTCAAGCCTAAGGCTCCCTAGAACCGAACCGAACCGAATCAAACCGAACCAAATCGGTTAGGTTTGGTAATAAGTCGGTACAACCATTCATACCGTACCGCAATTTTGCTACGTGTTCGGTTTTGGTACCACTCCGGTACCAAACCGTGCGCATGCCTAGTACAAAATGTTAATGGAGATTAGGAATGTCCTATATGAGCAATACAAAGGCACGTAAGAGGAGTTTGCACGTAACACATTCCAAAAATTCCTCCTGCATATACCTTTGTAATGCTCATGAAGGGCATTTCTAGTGCCCCCTACATTTGATATCAATTTCTTAGTTAACTTGGCCCCGATTCCAAGACTTGGAAATATCTTACCCAAACATAGCCTAGAGGAACCTGGAACAAAATAGAAATTACGAATTCCTAACTCAAAATAACTAAATGAATTCCATTTTCAAACATGCTCAACCTTTGATCAATATATAACCAACCAGCCCGCTGCTGACTCGGCAGTTTCTTGTAAAAGAGGAAGCCACACATGAAACCGAGCAACTCCACCTCCAGCCGAGTAGCAGCTTTACTAAATTCAAATATCCAACACACATAAACATAAACATACCATCCGACCGACGATATCTACGACCACCACATTTTTTTCTGTAAACCACAAAGACATGATAGAACTCAGGCATCTACTCATCATGTTCAAGAAAAACATAAACTACGAGTCATCTACTCATCATTATTACCTAACCATAGCGTGAGTTGGTTACGCAACAACGCACGAATGAGTTGGCTACGCAACATGTACATAAACACTACCATAAAGAAAATTGGGAAGCTAAAAGAAACCAAACAAGCCCTAATCGAGAATTCATTACCGTTCACCCACTCAATAATCCCCTACCATATAAGCATAATAAGTGTGTTTTAACACTATCCTTTCTAATCTCAAACTAAGCTGAGCACACATATACAGTATCTAAATGCAGAACAAACAAATTAAGGAAATTTTAATTGCATTGCATAGCCTAATTGTACTGAATGCTGAAATTTTCATACTGTCATTTACTACCATAAAGAAATGCATACCAAGCATACATCACAATAAAATAACTCCAAACACGTCCATCAAACCACAATAGTAAAAGACTTACACACACGGAGCCAGCAAAGAAATATTTCACAAACAAGGAATAGACTCCCCTTAAATGATGTCCTCATTATCATGACTTTAAGCAATTTTACCATTACGAGACCTAGCAAGAAAAGAAGCCAAGAAAGAGAACCATGTGCCTTCACGATATAGATCTTCACTTCGTCTTGTGACTCCTAGATTTTATCAAGTTTGTCTGCCTTCACAATAGGATTGGCTTTCGCAATAGCATCCTGACCAGCAGTCCTATAATCAAAAGGACAGTCATGTTTGTCGGAATAACGATGGCTCGCACAGAAGGTGTTTCCACATTTGCAATTGAACCCAGTTAAACCAACGCGCTTTCGGCAAGTAGTGCATTTGCTTGGTCCCTTTTTTTCTTTCACCTCAATTTTCATGCTTGAGGATGAGTCACTGGATGGTTCTGTTGAAACAACACTGGTCCCCACTTGTACAGCTTGCACATCGACAACACTTGCGACAACTGGGTCAATGACAATGCTGCTGCTGCTGCCGCCGCCATTCACAATGCTGTCAATGGATGATGCAGCCAAATTAGCTTGGTCCTGCTTTAAGAGCGTGTCCTTGTAACACTTGGAACACATGTTCATTGTCGCAACCCTTCCAAAGAATCCACAGTTATTAACACAAAGTATCGGGCGGTCTGGTGTTTGGCATCCAGTTTCATCATGAGATTCCATCTTTTCTACTTATCTGCACCAAGAAAAAAAAAAAAAAAAAAAAAAAGCAAGAAAACCAAGCCGTTTAAATATCATCAAAGAAGCCTTAACAAAATGGCCTATTCACTAACTGCAGAAATACCAAACCAGCAGCATACATGCAAAAAGAGAGACAAAATTCTATAACGATAGATAATATAATTTGGAGATACCAAATAACCAAATGCCCAACATAGTGAATACATATAAGCAATTTAAAATGCCACACCACAAGTGCCAAATAACCAAAGAGGAAAACAGAACTCATAAGCACTTAAACACATTGAATCATGCAAGTTGTTTATGATTGGGGGCTATTTATCTCCTTCCACCAAACATCTCAGATTTTCCACTCCAGTAAAACATCAATTATACAAATCGAATGTCCTGCGTTGAACAATCCAGGCCAACGTTTACAATTCAAACCACTTAACTCTAACAAATGCCGAAAACTCACAAAAGTTCTAAATTTTCCCCATAACGCCGGGACCTTCAACAAAATCCGATAGAATTTAAACAAGCTCAGTTCTAACCCATACCAAAACCCATAAAACTCCTACAAGTTCCTCTACACATGCCAAAATCTTCCATACTCCGAACAATCGCAGTCGGACAACAAAAAAATCCAAACTTTCAACCGTAAATGTTTTCAATTACAGACGATTGAACCCCTACACACATAATTCACCAAAAAAACCGAAAAATTAAACGGAACCCGCCAGCTTTCATTTACAAGCACAACAAATTGATCCATACAATCCAATCCGAGAATTCATACATTTCAAAGACCAAAATCAAACTCTAACCTGTTAATTTCGGCCGATCCAAGTCCCAAAATCGAACCAGGCGATTCCTGCTCCTCGTTCAAAAATTTCAAAAAGCAACAAATTAATAACCAAATCAAAGAAAAACATGGAAATAAAAATAAAAATAAAAACGCAGACAGATAGAGGGAAGGGACCATGAGTCTCATACCCTGATAGAGGAGATTATTGCTTTGAAATAATTATTGAAAGATGAAAACAAATAAATGGAAGGCGAAAAATATAATATAAATAAAATAAAAAAAAAGAGGAAGAGATAATTGGTAGTGCTTGCTGGGTTTTAGGTTTGAGGCTTCTCTTGTGGGGTCTCTTTCTTATAACCTTTCCTCTTTGCCAACGACCGCTTTCCACTAAGTCGGTGGTAATGATGTAACCGCCTTTGGACGCCGACGTTGTTGCGGCGTTGCCATTGCAATGTTGTACGAGTCCGACTCCGACTGCCAACTGTTCGGGGAGTTGAACATTGGGCTGGGCTGTGGTGGTTGGACCCATGATTGCGTTAGGTTGGGACTTGACATATAATCGAACAATTATTTTGTACAAACCAAACGTTGTAATAATTCATCTAGATTACGAGGTCAACTTGGTTGAACCCGTGTCTATTAAGAGAACGTTGTTTATAGTAGGTTGGAAAAGTGAGTTTAATATTAACTAGCCTTTCTACATGCGGCTTGCATGTGCGAAATACCTTTCTTACATCACGGTGCGCTAAGTACGACATACAAAAATTTTCCTCTTCCATATTTGTGCATGCATAAAGACATCTTTAGTAAAAACAAAAACATTTCATACGTGTTATACATGCATTGGTTTTATATGTCCATAATTTCCCATATTTAGGGAGTGATAAAATTAATTTTCATGTTTTAATGAGATACAAAAATTGTTAGATAAAATGTAACAAATATCAATTTGAACAAAGCACTAAACATATAAAGCTAATTATCCTTCCTTCCAAAAGACCATAGATAAAGTTGATAAGAACTTATCTTCGAATCCAAGAAGCTCCTTTACCCGAAAAGCAATCCAAGGGCGCGTACCTATAACACATCCTTCATACACAATTAAGCACAACAATTGGTCACACTTGATTTCATCAACTCTTAAAGCAATACTGATAGGAGCATATTTATGCTACTTAGTTATGATGTTTCCTTGCATTTAGTGAGTTAATTACTATGTATTTCAGTCTTTTAAGTTATTTTCGTATGTTTTTAGGTCCTAATGGCAAAATGAGCAAGAAAGTGCATTTTAAGGCTATTTGGAGCAGTTTTGGGCATAGATTGGATAGCTTAACCATGGAGCAAAGAGGATGGACGAAAATGAAGTCAAGAAGGGCTAGGAAAGGCTACAAATCTGGAGAAAGAAGTCCAAATACAAAGAAGATAAGGAAATAGTAAGAAATAAGGAACCTTATCCAAATTTCCTTATCTTATCCAAACCTTATCCAACCTTATCTTATCTTATCCTACCCTAATCTTTTCGTACCTTAATTCCAACTTCAAAGAGGACTCCTTTTCACATTGAATCACCTAAATATCAAGTTCTAGAAGACCTATTTTCGTGCATTAAGTTTATGCCACAAGTAACCCTTCTAGAAGTTCTAGAATCTGCCACAAGGACCATTCCTTGTCCTCCTTGGAATCTAATTGAAAGTATCCTTGTTCTTTGGTGATTTGGAGTCCTAATTCCTCTCCTTTTCAGCCCAAATTCGTGCCTCCCCTTCACCCTATAAATATTTGATGCCACAACACTCAAAAACCACCACCCTCTACCTTACTTCCACACCTCCATCCAAACCTCCATACATCACCATCATTCCTTGCCGCACCACCACACCCTCCTAAATCCATCCAAAACCCAGAAAATCATCCACAAAACCACCCTAGACCTTGTGCCGTGACTTAGCAAGGAAGAGGAGAAGGAAGACCAAGCCTTGGGCGTTTGTGCATTCGAGTTGGAATGTTGGACGTTTTTAGGTGTAATCTATCTTTTATTTTCAATGTTTAATTCTATATTGCTTTGTTTTGTCATGAACATGAGAGGCTAAACTCGTTTTAGCCTAGGGATGCTTTGAAACCATGATTGCATTTATAATATGAGTTGATTAAGTCCAGTTGTGATTTCATAAATTGTGAACGCAATTTACTTAACCGTTTGATGGATAACTTACTCTTGTATGTTTATTAGGGAGGCCTACTTAATTTGCATGCTTGAATTTAGGGCTAGAATATAAGGGTGTTTCACATAATCGTTATGAACTTATGTTCACAAGTAATTAAGGTTGTTTTCACAATCATGTTAAGTAAATTCCTAGCATGAGTATCATGATGTCATAGTTACAAGTGCTTTGTCAATACTTATGATTTCCATTGAACGTAATGATCTTTGATCGTATCTCTATTATGATGTCATGTAGGGGACTTTTGAAGAATGCTTTGGGTTGTCGTATGATGTCATCCAATCCACTAACTTAAGGGAAATCTGAGGGTTAATTAGTGATGTCACGGTTAATCTGGGGTGTTGAGGTTCATGGTTTATCGGAAAAGCAACTGGAAATCAATTTATGTTTGAAAGTATCATGTGTGGAGAAGTATCCCTTGGCTATCCCATCATCCATTAGTTTTTCTTATTTTCGTCCAAAATCTGTTTTAAAGTTTTAAGTTACTTGTTTTCTTTTAAATTCATCCAAAATCAAAACCCCTTTTCTTACTTGTTCCAAATCTGTCCAAAAGAGTCTTTTTGAGTCTTTAGAGTCAAAACTAAGTGTATTTTCGTCCAAATTAAGTCCTAGAGTCTAACTTGAGTCTTTTTGGTTGTTTTGAGTTTTTAAAGTTTGTTTTTGGTCATACAAGTTAGTAAGAGTCTTGTGAGTTTATTTAAAGTGTTTTAAAGCATATTTTCACATCTTTGAGACAATTTTCATTAGATTAGCAATCCCTCATAATCCTCGGCCTAGAACAATCCCTACTTATATCTATACTACAATTGTCAAAAAGAGGGTTTAATTTGTGTGCTATCTTTTATCACATCAAATTTTTGGCGCCATTGCCGGGGATTAGCAACTTTGCTAATCCCCCGTTGTTTCCCTTTGTTTCTATTTTGTATTTTAGTTTTAGTTTCTGATTTGTGTTTTGTTTTGTTTTGTTTTGTTGATTTTAGGTACTAGAGAAGCACGACATGGCACTTGATAATGCTTCTCTTTTGTCACAGCTCATGGAAAGGTCCCAAATGCAAGGAGTTGGTACATTTGATCATAATCAACCAAGGAACGACGTGTTTTCCAATACTTACAATTCGGATTGGAGTGATCATTCAAACTCTATGCGGTGGGAACCTCAACATGTTCAACAAGAATGTTATTGGCAGCCATATGAGGAGTTCTATTCAAGACCTATGCAACCACCACAACCTCATATATAATATGCCCAACCAAACTCAGGTTCGTCAATAGATTATAATCAAATTCTTAATGAATTAATTTCTTTGGTGCAGGGCTCACAAAAGCAAGCCAAGGAGGCTCAACAAGGAGAATATTGGCAGCCATTTGAGGAGTTTTATACAACACCTATGCAGCCACCACAATCTGCCCAAACAGATTCAGGTATGTCTTTGTATAATGATATGCTTATTAAGTTACTCACCAATTTGTCTCAGGGGTAAGAGAATCAAAACAAAGTGATGCAAAATCAAGAAAAAGCAATGCAAAATCAAGACAAAAGGTTGGACTACTTGGAAAAGCAAATTGGGCAGATAACGGAGTTCGTAGGACGATTCCGAGACCAAGGCAAGCTCCCTCGTTCAACCATTATCAATCCAAAGGGAGGGTTCGAATTTGCCAAAGCAATCACCTTGAGGAGTGGAAAAGAAGTTGCCATTAATCCAAAACCATCCACAACAAGTCCAAATGAAGATGAGAAGCTACAATTGGAAGAGGAGGAGTTGGACAAAGCCACGGCAAGGGTGGAAACACCTTTTCCGCAGCCACCTCAAGATCCCAATTCGCCCACCATAGGTAAGGTTGTTCCAGATTTAATTATTTCTAACCCCATTCCACCAAATGTCCCTATTCCTTGCAGGTTCATGAATTCCAAGGAAGAAGAAAGTGAAAAAGACATCTTGGAAGCCCTTCCAAAGGTGCAAAGTAGGGAATATCAAGAATTCATCAAAGAAGACGTTCTTGAGACAAACAACCCCAAAGAAGTTGAATTTTATGACACAGGACAAGGACCAATCCTCACATCAAATCTGTCCAAGTGCAAAGTTCCTGAAACGTTCAAAGAAGATGTGTTTATCCTTGAGTTCTTGTTGGAGGACATAGGTAAGCCACCTCCTCCAATTTCAATTTCGTTTTATACTAACAGGTTGTTGATGATTCAGGCACCCAATCTTGAATTTAAACCATTACCGGATCATTTCAAGTATCACCTTCCATTCAAAGATCAATTCCATGCCGTGGGCACTAGGGGAGTTTAAAAGGAGGTATCGTCCGGCTGGAAGACGTTAAAGCAAGCGCTTCTTGGGAGGCAACCCATGCATTCACATAAAGAAGACCTAGGAATCTCCGGCTCCCACAACCAGATTTGCGTTCCTAAACCCTACTCTTTATTGCTTTTACTTTGCCATGATTGTCATGTTTGTTAGTTGTGTTATTTGTTTGTTTGTTTGTGAGTCTATGCTTAAAACATTGAGGACAATGTTTGGTTTAAGTATGGGGGGGTAAACAATTTGCTTTTGCATGATTTTACATGATTTTCGTGGGATTTTATCACCTATCACTTATAATGTTGTTTCTCACTGTTTTTAAGTGTTTTTAGAGTGTTTTGAAGTGTTTTTATGTCTTTTGTTCAGAAAATCCGAAAATTTACAAAAAAATTTGCAAAACAGTTTTGAAAAACCCAAAAAGAGTTGTTTTAAAGTTGTTTTTGTGTGTGTGTTTGTGTCTTAGGGTACCTTCCAACACAATGATGAGGATTTGGTTTTTAATTGCATGACTATTAAAGAATGTTGTAAACATGGCTGGAAGTTGATTTGTGCTTTGGTTTATGCTTGGTTATGGTTATAGCTTATGAATTCACATGTAATTACAAAGAGAAAATCAGTTTTTGTAACATGCTTGAAGGAAGAAACTCAAACTAACGCTACATCCTTGAGAGACTTGAGCCTATAACGTTCTTTGGAGAGTATAATCTGTGATTTCTTGTTTTCTAAAGTCGTTGCATGATCTTATCATTCTTTGCTTGGTTGCTACTTGGAATGCATCTCATTATAGTTCCAAATACTAGAACTCATGCCCATTTCATTCAAAGCATGGTATTGATTGCATAACATACAATAAGATGAAGTTGTTAGTCAAGCCAAAGCCAAAAAGCCTATCCCTTTTCATATGTATTGTAGGATTTACCATTTTGAGCCTTGTCAAAGCCTATTTTCTTTGTTAGCCACATTATCCTTACCTAGCCTAGATTAGGACTTTCCATACCTTTGTTCTTAAAGGATAGTGAAGCACGACTTAGAGTGAACTCCTTTGGTCAATATATGGTGGAAAATGAGTGTGGGGGAAGATGATAGGGCACGACAAAAGAAGAAAAGAAAAGAAAAAAAAAATAGAGAAAATTCGTGGAAAAATCAAAAGAAAATAGAAAAGTGTTGAAAAGAAGGAAAAAGAGTTGAAAAATAAGTGAGAATGAACTCACAAGTGTTGGTTATTGAAGGAAGGGTCCAAAAAAGTAAATTTGACCCTTAAGTGTTGCATGAATCTTCCTTTGTGTGTAAAAGTTGATTTCTGCCATTTGAAGAGAGTTTAAGTGTCAAATTCATTACTTTGCTTACTATTGCTTTAAGAACTTTTGTTGATCCTTACCTTTCTTTGTTAGCCAATACCTTAGCCTCGTTACAACCCTCGACTTCTATCTTGATGTTATGTGTTCAATATGTGGAGTTTGAATTTGGTATGAGCATATGGAATCACTGGTTCTCATGCTAAGTAGTAGCATTCCATTCATGAGATCATATTCATGTCATTGTCGTAAATCCAGAAAATGATTTCTTTGATATTAACATATGTGAGTGTTAGTCTTCATATCTACATCAATCTTCTCACATATACCTAGTGTAGGGTGTGAAGTTAAAAAATCTGTGTGAAAATAGAGTGCATTCTAGTGAGGAATTGAGGGAATTCTCTAAGGCATGTTACTACATTCAAAACATTGTTTTAATTGATTAAATGAGAACTAATAAGTAGTAACTATGATTGAGTGTTTGTTGAAGTATAAAGAAACCTAAAAACCGTGGGAATGATGTTCTTTAATGTGTCATGTTCGTTGGAAATCCCTGAGGTACATGTTGGAAGGTCTAGAATGTGTTTTGTTTGTTTTGTTTATTTCGTTTTGCTTGAGGACTAGCAAAAGCTAAGTGTGGGAGAATTTGATACGAGCATATTTATGCTACTTAGTTATGATGTTTCCTTGCATTTAGTGAGTTAATTACTATGTATTTCAGTCTTTTAAGTTATTTTCGTATGTTTTTAGGTCCTCATGGCAAAATGAGCAAGAAAGTGCATTTTGAGGCTATTTGGAGCAGTTTTGGGCATGGATTGGATAGCTTAACCATGGAGCAAAGAGGATGGACGAAAATGAAGTCAAGAAGGGCTAGGAAAGGCTACAAATCTGGAGAAAGAAGTCCAAATACAAAGAAGATAAGGAAATAGCAAGAAATAAGGAACCTTATCCAAATTTCCTTATCTTATCCAAACCTTATCCAACCTTATCTTATCTTATCCTATCCTAATCTTTTCCTACCTTAATTCCAACTTCAAAGAGGACTTCTTTTCACATTGAATCACCTAAATATCAAGTTCTAGAAGACCTATTTTCGTGCATTAAGTTTATGCCACAAGTAACCCTTCTAGAAGTTCTAGAATCTGCCACAAGGACCATTCCTTGTCCTCCTTGGAATCTAATTGAAAGTATCCTTGTTCTTTGGTGATTTGGAGTCCTAATTCCTCTCCTTTTCAGCCCAAATTCGTGCCTCCCCTTCACCCTATAAATACTTGATGCCACAACACTCAAAAACCACCACCCTCTACCCTACTTCCACACCTCCATCCAAACCTCCATACATCACCATCATTCCTTGCCGCACCACCACACCCTCCTAAATCCATCCAAAACCCAGAAAATCATCCACAAAACCACCCTAGACCTTGTGCCGTGACTTAGCAAGGAAGAGGAGAAGGAAGACCAAGCCTTGGGCGTTTGTGCATTCGAGTTGGAGTGTTGGACGTTTTTAGGTGTAATCTATCTTTTATTTTCAATGTTTAATTCTATATTGCTTTGTTTTGTCATGAACATGAGAGGCTAAACTCGTTTTAGCCTAGGGATGCTTTGAAACCATGATTGCATTTATAATATGAGTTGATTAAGTCCAGTTGTGATTTCATAAATTGTGAACGTAATTTACTTAACCGTTTGATGGATAACTTACTCTTGTATGTTTATTAGGGAGGCCTACTTAATTTGCATGCTTGAATTTGGGGCTAGAATATAAGGGTGTTTCACATAATCGTTATAAACTTATGTTCACAAGTAGTTAAGGTTGTTTTCACAATCATGTTAAGTAAATTCCTAGCATGAGTATCATGATGTCATAGTTACAAGTGCTTTGTCAATACTTATGATTTCCATTGAACGTAATGATCTTTGACCGTATCTCTATTATGATGTCATGTAGGGGACTTTTGAAGAATGCTTTGGGTTGTCGTATGATGTCATCCAATCCACTAACTTAAGGGAAATCTGAGGGTTAATTAGTGATGTCACGGTTAATCTGGGGTGTTGAGGTTCATGGTTTATCGGAAAAGCAACTGGAAATCAATTTATGTTTGAAAGTATCATGTGTGGAGAAGTATCCCTTGGCTATCCCATCATCCATTAGTTTTTCTTATTTTCGTCCAAAATCTGTTTTAAAGTTTTAAGTTACTTGTTTTCTTTTAAATTCATCCAAAATCAAAACCCTTTTTCTTACTTGTTCCAAATCTGTCCAAAAGAGTCTTTTTGAGTCTTTAGAGTCAAAACTAAGTGTATTTTCGTCCAAATTAAGTCCTAGAGTCTAACTTGAGTCTTTTTGGTTGTTTTGAGTCTTTAAAGTTTGTTTTTGGTCATACAAGTTAGTAAGAGTCTTGTGAGTTTATTTGAAGTGTTTTAAAGCATATTTTCACATCTTTGAGTCAATTTTCATTAGATTAGCAATCCCTCCTAATCACCGGCCTAGAACGATCCCTACTTATATCTATACTACAATTGTCAAAAAGAGGGTTTAATTTGTATGCTATCTTTTATCACATCAAATACCCAATTCTCAAAAACATAATAAAATTTATTTGCGAATTGAAATTTCAATTAAATTCGAACAAAAAAATTAGGGGAAAGAGACGAACCAAATGTTCCAATTCAGGTGCAATTTCTGAGATTTCAACAGCTGCGCTTGCTTATTGAATTAGAGTTTCTGAATTAGAATATCTGGGTTAGGTCTTAATGGAGTCTTTGATACAACTTAACCTAAAAGACCTGCCCGATATTTTTTAGCGTTTGCGATGAATGCTCAAGGATTTTGGCGGTTGAAGCAAGAGCGATGAGGGTGTAGTTTGAGCTTTACACCATGTGTGTGTGGGCAGTGGGAGAACTTAATCTCAAGGTCGGTAGTAGGGATTAGCAATATAGTGGCTCTCTCCATCATTCAGAATTTGGCACCCTTGGTCTGGAAATAAGAGTTAAACAGCAAACCACACATGAAATGGTAGTGAAAGTGAAACTTATTGTGTTTAGTAACTGCCATATTGAAATGGAAGTAAGATGATCCAAAACTGATTAATCTCAAAGGTAAGAGATCATGTATTTAAATCAACAACCAAAAAGAACCTACCTGTAACTTTTTGCAATTTCCCTCATGTTTGTATCCATCTCTAATCTTCTAGCCATTACAATTTGTCCTTGAGATATTGCAGAACAGCTTTGGTTCCTCCATCTAAAACTGTCCTCCACATTCTGTCAAGTATAAATCCATACGATGAGAAGGTCAATGATTCATAGGATAAGCAAGGGATTTAGAACTCTGCAGTAGAAAGTCTGACTGATTAGCACGCAATGAGACAAAGGGTGTGCCGTCCACACACCCCATTTTACTTCTCACACAACCCTTGATAATTTATGTCCGTTGATCTTCTTCAATTCATCTGATCCGAGGCCGAAAATTAAAAAGGTGTGTGAGAAGTAAAATGGGGTGTGTGGATATCACACCCCTTAGACAAAGTGTTATGCCTCACTGACATTTTTTCCTTATTCTATGAATAAAGGAATTGATAGCAAGAGACTATACAGGGTGCATCACTATAAGAACTCAAAGCAGTCATATTTTGAGCTTGGGATCAGGCCCCAAGTTTTGTAAATCCTAAATGGTGTAATTTTGCCTTGCATTTCCGTCCACTATAATTACCCATGAACGAAAAAAGAACATTAGAATAAATTAATTAAAAACAAAATCAGGAAGAGGATGACTCAACTGTTTCTCTTCCCTCGTCTTCCGCTATAGCACCGCTATTTCTTACTTTAATGATACTCAAGTAGCAACTCAATTACATAAGATATTAAGCTAAATTAGCAGAATATGACAATCCGCATTTGGGCTTTTGGCTTTAAGCCATACAGTACAAAAAATTATACTAAAAGTACAAAACAATGAACCACCAAGTAAATCAGAAAGCCAAAAACCCACATCCGAAAGTACCCAGAAGCTAAAATGATAGAAAGAAGAAGAAGGGGTATTTATATGTACTTGTCATTGTTGCAATCCATTTTTTGAGCAGCAATAGTAGCAGTAGCAGCAGCAACTCAACCGTCGCCGCCCAAATGCCAAACCCTCTTTGCCTTCTCTCTTTACTCTTTGTCTTGGGTGGAGAATCAAATTGAAAAACCCATCTATCAAATTGAAGAAGGAGAGAGCAAGGAATTGACTCTTTGGATTCGAGAACATATATATGGAGAAAACTTTGAAAGATAGACAAATAAACCAAAAAATTCAAATATGAGAATCAAACGGCTTACCCAACTGGGTAGGTTTTTAATTTCTTTTGCAATTATATGGGCGCGCATGCAGCAGTTATATAGGTTCCAGCAATCAAGTGAACTCGAACCGCTAAGTCTGCAAGTGGGTTCCTTCGCGATCGTGTTCCTATTTTTTACTTTTTAGTTTATTTTTTATTTATTGTGTTTTCTGCTTTTGTTTTTTTATTTGGACATTTGTATCCCTTATTTATATTCCTAACAGTAAATCACGCGAAGTAAATTTTTTCGTTTGAGGGGTTTTATAGTTCAATTATTTTTTGGGAAGCCTTGAGACACCAAGTTTGACATCTCGCTTTCAAATATTAGAGATATATTGAACTCATATACAAATCAAACTCCTATTGTGAGATGGAAAATTTGAGTTTGATACCAATATATGAAATTCATGAGTTCTATACATTAAACTCATGAGTGTGTTATCAATATATTGAACTCACACTAATAGAGCATTAGTGTTATGTCAAATTCAAGTTGTCTGATTCCTATATATAGGTATCACACTCATCCAAACTATTGTAAAAGGCCTTAGGATTTAGAACATAAATGTTTATGACCACCTTGTCATGACCACTATCATCACCTATTTTCCACCACTTTGTCATGACCACATTGTTGTCCGCGGCCTAGTGACATCATGGCCATCGTCTCAATTACCATCATCTTACCTTGCGCATCAAGACCATCATCGCCACCACCACATCTCCTATATATGACGAGTTCAATACCAAATTATCATAATTAGCGCATTGAATCATGTAGCCTAATTTCACAACCCTTTAGTATAAATGTATCACTTTGTTAAAAAGAAAAGTCACCTACTTAATTACTTGTTGTAATGTAAGATTTTGGAAAATCTTTTCGAGGTAATCCAATATACAATTAAATTGGCTGCAACGACTCATAAACTTGAACAAATAGTAGGTATAAGTTGAATGATAGCTTAAAGGGCTGCACAACACACAGTTAATGATAAGCAATTGTCAAAATACGGAGTCCCATAAACTATGAAACCATCACCTATTCACCTTGATATAGATTGGATTGAAATGTCACAAGTAAAAGGGTAGGCCACCCAGGGTACACTCTTCACAGCGTGCTAGTTCTTCACGCCTAACACATCCAACCACCTTGACACACAAACAATGGCGGAACTTGGATTTCGAGTTAAGAGGGGCCTCTTACAAATGTAAAGAAAACGCTACAACACTGCCAACAACACCATCTCTGCAACATGCTCGCAAATCCCTTTAATGCTCGCGAATCCATTTCTTAACTATCGTCCCATCCATCATTTGGTCATCATCTTTGCCACTACTTTGCTGCTTTAGATTTTTGGTCCGATTTTGATGTTTGTTTGCTGTGTGATGATGGTGTTGATTTTTCACTTCCATTCCATTTCATCAGTACACTCTGACTAGATGGGAGTTGTGTTAATTGGCGAAGAAAAGAACCTAATAGAAAGGCTAACGAGAACATGAAAATCGCACATGGATGGAAGCATAATTTAAGCCTGTCAACAACCACCAACACCATGTGAAAAAGGTTTAAACTCTGGTAGAACTAGCTCTTTGGCTGCGAAAAAGGTTTAAACTCTGGTAGAACTAGCTCTTTCGCCTACTTCCTTTCTCTCCCTTTAGTGATGCCCTAATGCTCTAAAAAATCTTTAGTAATTAGAAGGATCACTCTAGTTTTTTTGCTCTGTGAAAAGAATGTCGGGTAGGCCTAGGACCATTATGGTCCCTTCATGACTCCGCTCCTGCACACAAATGACTTTACTGTGAAGAGTGAGAAGGAGAAGGGTTCCATTTTCATAGTATGTAGTATTAGATATTACAAGTATTTGTTCATTTGGAATTATGGGACCATAATAAAAGCAATAATCCGAATTGATATCCAATGCTTGTAGCATATATATGAGAAGATCGTGACTTGTAAAATACGAAAAAACAATGAGAAATATACATGAGACACAATAAGAAAATTGGTTAGTCCATGGAATTAAACCAAGAAATTGGTTTAGTGGTACATATCCTCCATCGGAGTATAAGTTCAAACCAGGACACGGGGTCCGGTCCAGTTAGCAAAGCGAACTGTAAACCCGACCGAAGCAAGCCCTCCAAGCCACCGTGGCGGGAAAATGGTAAATTGGAGAGCTAATTGGCGGGAACAAATCGAAGCTCCAAAAATTCACATATAAGTGCAAGCCCTCACTACCAAGACCATTTTCCCAAATTTCAAAACTACCGACTCGAAGAAAAATGGGGAAGAGAAAGAGAGCTAGGGTTTCTGAGCAGAAGCAGCAACCACCACCACAAGTCGAATACGAAGAAGAAGAGCACGAACGGAGCGACGAAGATCGCAACCCCCCGACTTCCACCAACGAGAAGAGCCTCTATGAGGTGCGTAAAATCCGTTCAAAATTCAAAATTCTCTTGATGCGATTCGATTAGCGTTTGATTTCGAACGGAAAGATGGAAAATTTGATTTGTAGAGTGTTTTTTGCCCTAATTTGGGAAATTAGGGTTTTTGATGGATTGGGTTTTGTTTTTGTTTCGTAGGTTCTTGGCGTGGAGAGAAGCGCTACTCAGCAGGAAATAAAGAAAGCCTATCATAAATTAGCATTGCGATTGCATCCGGATAAGAATCCCGGTGATGAGGTGAGGAAGTTTGATATAATTTAGGAGTTTTCTGTGAATTGTGGTGTTTCTGTGAGTGTAAATTTCTGGTATTGTTCGTGTAGGAAGCTAAAGAAAAGTTTCAGCAATTGCAAAAGGTGATATCGATTCTCGGGGATGAGGAGAAACGAGCACTCTATGACGAGACGGGTTGCCTTGATGATGATGTGAGTATCTGATGTTATTTTCTTTGCTTTTTGATTCATTCACTTTAATGCATACTGCTGTTTAGTGCGATAAGTAGGATTCTGTACTAGAAATTACAAGTAGAAATTTCGGGGTGGATGTTTCTCAACTAGAATAATTGTAATCTTCGTACTTGCGCAACTGCTTTGGAAGATCAAATTGGAGGGTTTTAGATACTTCGGGAAATCAAATGTTGGCTTTGTTCAAGTGGTGCTTATTGTGGTTTCATTGTCATGAGCAGGACCTTACTGGTGATGTTGTTCAGAATCTGCATGAATATTTCCGGGTCATATATAAAAAGGTCATGATATTTTCATCTTTTTATGCTGTCTTGATATAACAGTGTCGTTTGTACTTTCAGCATATTGCTGACAACATGCACATCCATTGCAGGTCACTGAAGCTGATATCGAAGAGTTTGAAGCAAACTACAGGGGATCTGATTCTGAGAAGAAAGATTTGATTGATCTGTATAGCCAGTGCAAGGGGAATATGAACAGGTATTAGCTTTATTTATCACTGCGTTTATCCTTTTTGTCATTTGGTTTGCTGTTTCTGTTTGATACTTACAGTTCATTCCCTTGCAGACTATTCTGTTCGATGATATGTTCTGATCCTAAACTCGATTCACACCGCTTCAAGGATATTCTTGATGAGGCAATAGCTACAGGTGTGTTATGTTTATTAAGCTCCAGTTTCATAGTGAATTTCTGGGACTTTGGTTCATATTTTATTTTAGGTGTTTGAATATAATGTTTATATTTATGTGATTGAAGGATTACAAGGATTTCAAATGATTCATTGGACATAGTCATTTCAGATTCAGTTGTTACATTATATCTGGTCATTTTGTGGATTATATCTTTGCGTTATAACAAATATAAACCATTCTTTTGAATCCTTATATCCAAATGAAGTCTTTGCCTCTTTGTCTTTAAGAGAAAGAGTAAAAATTCCAGTCCTACCACAAATTTAAGTGTCAATATTACTAGGAATAATCTTTTTCTGAGCTCAGGCCTGGCTTGCAAACCATGGCCACTTGGTTCTTAAAGATATCTAAAATACAACCATAAGTGATAAGATTCACTATGAATGTTAATCAGATGGCCCTAGTTCGCTTCTTAGAGTTAAGAGGGGCCTTATCAGTTGCTTGATTCTTTCTTTTTGACACTGCTTAAGGTTTTTGGGTTCAACAAATGATCCTCTATACAACATTATTAGAGCCTTGTTCTAATTATCTAGAGTAATTTCTTTCAATTCACATGCCATCTTATATTTTCTAATTACTCGGTACTCTTAAATCACTCTTTCACATTGGTTGTTGAACATGTTGAAACCATCATAGTCGGTTCTCTCTCATTTCATGTCAATGAATGTTATTGACGAATAAACCTTTATATTTAAGTAACAGAAATCATTAATGCATTATTGTCGTACTGAAATGTCCCGCAATTAAGGGTGTTTTTAGGAACCTCGTATGTTGCTCACACGGACCCTCGCTGTTTCTGTCTCTTAACAGGAGAACTGAAATCAACCAAAGCCTACAGGAAATGGGCAAAGAAAGTATCTGAAACAAAACCTCCTACCAGCCCTTTAAGGAGAAAGACCAAGTGAGTACTTCTTGACAAGTTTATTTAATTGCTTATACTTAGTTTTAGCTTAACCGAGAAATGGAAAAGGTTTATGCTTAAATCTAATCTTTTACAGGGCAAAGAAACAGACAGAAGATCTGTATGCAATCATATCTCAGCGCCGCAGTGAGAGGAAAAACCAGTTTGATTCGATGTTTTCTTCTCTAGTTTCCAGATACGGGGGGAACACTGCTTCTTCAGAACCCACGGAAGAAGAATTTGAGGCTACACAGAAAAAACTTGAAAGAAAAAGGTCCTCCACGAAATCAAAGCACAAGTAATTCGAGCTGCCAGAGCGAGAACTTTACTCTATCAGACCGATGTTGTGCACGTTGTAAACACTAGCGCCTTTTGTTTAACTGTTTAAACGTACCTGCAAAATTGTATTCGAGCTCTGTTCATGGATTTAAGTGTTTGCCTGACCTAATGTGCTCGTGAAAAGTCAATCGATCCTTTTCTTTTTGGAAAACTTGTTCCCCCGTATCAACTATCAACTATCAACCAGTGTTGGTTGATACAGGATGTACAAAGAAGCCTTTGCTGTTTTATCGCGCTGTTGAGCTTTGGACTTTTCAGTGTTCACTACTGGTCATTGTTCAGTTATCTAACTTTTATGATCCAACAAAAAATTTATGGTGCTTCAAAATATGAGATATTTTGAGTTTGTTAACCGTTGAATCTTGATTTTTGTATTTTTAAACAAAGATTTAGAGTATCTTATACTTCGGACCATGTAGAAAATCTCATGATGCAAAACTTGTGTTATTCACTTAGGTTTCTGGTGTTGGAAAAGGTGGCCAATTATAGCTTATTCCGAACACACTTTGCCAGTTTGCCCTTGAAAATCACTTTAACTTGCTCCATAGATTAATCTTTTTAGTTTTTGAATCTCATTTTTACCATCCACTGTAAAGTTCGTAAAAAACCTTTCAAATTGACTGACATGGCATAAAAGGGACCCACGATTTTCTTGATGGGTATCCCATTTGTATAATGGAAAATGATAAACACACTCTATTTAGTCTTTTACACAATTTTGTTTAATTTTGACCGTTGACTCCATTTGATTAATTCAATCTAGTGATTTAAAATAAAGAAGTATGTGAGAAGCTTAAAATTTTTTTTGTAGAAACTACTCTTCCCAAACCGTGTTTGTGCAAACTACGGAACGTCTAAAAGTTTAATTCTAACTAAAAAATAGGGAGTTTTAACGAAAAACCCACGGTATTGTTCATATTAACGAAAAACCATATTTTTACACTAAAAACTCAATTTTGGTACTATTCACTTTATCTTTCATTTTGTCATTATTATTAAAATTCAAAGTTTTCAAATTTTTTACATTAGTTTTCCTTAAAAAATAATGTTTAGAAAAAGCCCATGCTCAGGGGAGGAAAACTGAACTAAGCCATACCCATAAGTTTACCAATCAAATCAATGAATTAATAAATCAATGGAGAATTAACGAATATAATTAAGACAAACAGGGCATAAGGTGAAAGAAAAGAGTACAAAACTCATTCTCAAATTCTTGTTGTCTTGGGGCCACTTTACCAATCATGAATTTCTTCAACTAACCCACAACTTAACAGACTATTTTTAAACTCTTTTTGGGCTTAATTTACTCAATTTGAATTTGCCTATCTTAGTTTAAGGATATTGAATAACTGAACCTTCAAAAAGTTGTGTTGGTTTTAGTGAATGAATGTTGACTGGGCTCTCGATAATTTGCGTAAACTGGTATAAGGACTTGATCAATTCTCTATGTGGGAATTGGTTTCTCGTGTGACCCCGTGTAGGGTCACTCATGAGAAAACGTGTTGGAGAATACGATCTCAAAAAAGTATATATACAAGTAATATATGGTGTATCGCAGAGGTTTTTGTGGTAAAATCACGCACCTAGCAGTATGTCGCTAAGTGAGGACAATATTGGTGGTGGACCGTAATGGGCCTATAAGGTTTATCATGATGTCAGAGTAGGTCGTCTCAAGTGTGATGTCACGCCCCGATCTCGACATACGTCCAGGATTGACAGATGATGTCACCAAATATCCGTATCTCAAACATACCCCACCTCCGGGATATGGGCAAAGCACAACTCGAGATCAAAATACGTAATAATTTTTTGTATACTTTATAGCTGCATCTAACCTCCTTGTTAGACTACCTACGTACCCTAAATAGGGATCAAGCCATTTGTAATTCATTATTCACTACACTTGAACAATCATCACATAAATCACTATGTCTCAACATAATACCACACAACAGGCATGCAACATCACGAGGAACATTCGACGAAGCGGAACATAATCTCTAGCCATATTGGTCAACAAGTCTAATCATAATGACAACAATCACAACCAACATCATTCCACAATCACATCAATCATTAACATATATCATACATCGAAATGCAGGGGTAGAGCAACAAGTTCGGCTGAAGCCTACATCTCTAAAGTTGAAATCAAATCCAAGGAACCAACAAGTCAAATGATGCGATTTCGGACCACTCAACGAAATCCATCAACATCGGGTTCCGGACCACTCAACGGAACCAAAACACCAAAGGAGATTCCGGACCACTCAACGGAATCCAAACCAGGATATGATTCCGGACCACTAAACGGAATCACGGAGTAGAAGGGATTCCAAACCTCTCAACGAAATCCGAGTGAATACAATTCCGGACCACTCAACGAAATTGCGGAGTACAATGCATATTGAACCACTCAATGAAATCCAAGTGTAGACATTGAAATTTCAGTGAAATAAATGTTGATCAATGTATTAAAATTATAACCTTTATTCATTTCACTTACATCACACACTCATTTCACCTACAACTTCCACTTAATTTACCAACCTCACACACTTACTTCACCAACATCACACACTTATTTCACCTACAACATCCACTCACTTCACCAAAAAAAATGGATGACGAGACGGGTTGCCTTGATGATGATGTGAGTATCTGATGTTATTTTCTTTGCTTTTTGATTCATTCACTTTAATGCATACTGCTGTTTAGTGTGATAAGTAGGATTCTGTACTAGAAATGATAAGTAGAAATTTCGGGGTGGATGTTCCTCAACTAGAATAATTGTAATCTTCGTACTTGCGCAACTGCTTTGGAAGATCAAATTGGAGGGTTTTAGATACTTCGGGAAATCAAATGTTGGCTTTGTTCAAGTGGTGCTTATTTTTGTTTCATTGTCATGAGCAGGGCCTTACTGGTGATGTTGTTCAGAATCTGCATGAATATTTCCGGGTCATATATAAAAAGGTCACGATGTTTTCATCTTTTTATGCTGTCTTGATATAACAGTGTCGTTTGTACTTTCGGCATATTGCTGACAACATGCACATCCATTGCAGGTCACTGAAGCTGATATTGAAGAGTTTGAAGCAAACTACAGGGGATCTGATTCCGAGAAGAAAGATTTGATTGATCTGTATAGCCAGTGCAAGGGGAATATGAACAGGTATTAGCTTTATTTATCACTGCGTTTATCCTTTTTGTCATTTGGTTTGCTGTTTCTGTTTGATACTTACAGTTCATTCCCTTGCAGACTATTCTGTTCGATGATATGTTCTGATCCTAAACTCGATTCACACCGCTTCAAGGATATTCTTGATGAGGCAATAGCTGCTGGTGTGTTATGTTTATTAAGCTCCAGTTTCATAGTGAATTTCTGGGATTTTGGTTCATATTTTATTTTAGGTGTTTGAATATAATGTTTATATTTATTTGATTGAAGGATTACAAGGATTTCAAATGATTCATTGGACATAGTCTTTTCAGATTCAGTTATTACATTATATCTGGTCATTTCATGGATTATATCTTTGCGTTATAACAAATATGAACCTTTCTTTTGAATCCTTATATCCAAATGAAGTATTTGCCTCTTTGTCTTTAAGAAAAAGAGTAAAAATTCCAGTCCTACCACAAATTTAAGTGTCAATATTACTAGGAATAATCTTCTTCTGAGCTCAGGCCTGGCTTGCAAACCATGGCCACTTGGTTCTTAAAGATATCTAAAATACAACCATAAGTGATAAGATTCACTACGAATGTTAATCAGATGGCCCTAGTTCGCTTCTTAGAGTTAGAGGGGCCTTATCAGTTGCTTGATTCTTTCTTTTTGACACTGCTTAAGGTTTTTGGGTTCAACAAATGATCCTCTATACAACATTATTAGAGCCTTGTTCTAATTATCTAGAGTAATTTCTTTCAATTCACATGCCATCTTATGTTTTCTAATTACTCGTACTCTTAAATCACTCTTTCACATTGGTTGTTGAACATGTGGAAACCATCATAGTCGGTTCTCTCTCATTTCATGTCAATGAATGTTATTGACGAATAAACCTTTATATTTAGGTAACAGAAATCATTAATGCATTTTTTTCGTACTGAAATGTCCCGCAATTGAGGGTGTTTTTAGTAACCTCGTATGTTGCTCACACGGACCCTCGCCGTTTCTGTCTCTTAACAGGAGAACTGAAATCAACCAAAGCCTACATGAAATGGGCAAAGAAGGTATCTGAAACAAAACCTCCTACCAGCCCTTTAAGGAGAAAGACCAAGTGAGTACTTCTCGACAAGTTTATTTAATTGCTTATACTTAGTTTTAGCTCAACCGAGAAATGGAAAAGGTTTATGCTTAAATCTAATCTTTTACAGGGCAAAGAAACAGACAGAAGATCTGTATGCAATCATATCTCAGCGCCGCAGTGAGAGGAAAAACCAGTTTGATTCGATGTTTTCTTCTCTAGTTTCCAGATACGGGGGGAACACTGCTTCTTCAGAACCCACGGAAGAAGAATTTGAGGCTACACAGAAAAAACTTGAAAGAAAAAGGTCCTCCACGAAATCTAAGCGCAAGTAATTCGAGCTGCTAGAGCGAGAACTTTACCCTATCAGACCGATGTGCACGTTGCAAACACTAGCGCCTTTTGTTTAACTGTTTTAAACGTACCTGCAAAATTGTATTCGAGCTCTGTTCATGGATTTAAGTGTGTTTGCCTGACCTAATGTGCTCGTGATCAGTTAATCGATCCTTTTCTTTTTGGAAAACTTATTCCCCCGTATCAACTATCAACTATCAACCATTGTTGGTTGATACAGGATGTACAAAGAAGCCTCTGCTGTTTTATCGCGCTATTGAGCTTTGGACTTTTCAGTGTTCACTACTGGTCATTGTTAAGTTATCTTACTTTTATGATCCAACAAAAAATTTATGGTGCTTCAAAATATGAGATATTTTGAGTTTGTTAACCGTTGAATCTTGATTTTTGTATTTTTAAACAAAGATTTAGAGTATCTTATACTTCAGAACATGTAGAAAATCTCATGATGCAAAACTTGTGTTATTCACTTAGGTTTCTGGTGTTGGAAAAGGTGGCCAATTATACCTTATTCCGAACACACTTTGCCAGTTTGCCCTTGAAAATCACTTTAACTTGCTCCATAGATTAATCTTTTTAGTTTTTGAATCTCGTTTTTACCATCCACTGTAAAGTTCGTAAAAAACCTTTCAAATTTACTGACATGGCATAAAAGGGACCCACGATTTCCTTGATGGGTATCCCATTTGTATAATGGAAAATGATAAACACAAAATCTATTTAGTCTTTTACACATTTTTGTTTAATTTTGACCGTTGACTCCATTTGATTAATTCAATCTAGTGATTTAAAATAAAGAAGTATGTGAGAAGCTTAAAATTTTTTTTGTAGAAACTACTCTTCCCAAACCGTGTTTGTGCAAACTACGGAACGTCTAAAAGTTTAATTCTAACTAAAAAATAGGGAGTTTTAACGAAAAGCCCATTGTATTGTTCACATTAACGAAAAACCATATTTCTACACTAAAAAGTCAATCCTAGTACTATTCACTTTATCCTTTATTTTGTCATTATTATTAAAATTCAAAGTTTTCAAATCTTTTTCATTAGTTTTCCTTAAAAAATAATGTTTAGAAAAAGCCCATGCTCAAGGGAGGAAAACTGAACTAAGCCATACCCATAAGTTTACCAATCAAGTCAATGAAATAATAAATTAAAGAAGAATTAACGAATATAATTAAGACAAACAGGGCATAAGGTGAAAGAAAGAGTACAAAACTCATTCTCGAATTCTTGTTGTCTTGGGGCCACTTTACCAATCATGAATTTCTTCAACTAACCCACAACTTAACAGACTAATTGTAAACTCTTTTTGGGCTTAATTTACTCAATTTGAATTTGCCTATCTTAGTTTAAGGATATTGAATAACTGAGCTTTCAAAAAGTTGTGTTGGCTTTAGTGAATGAATGTTGACTGGGCTCTCGATAATTTGCGTAAACCGGTATAAGGACTTGATCAATTCTCTATGTGGGAATTGGTTTCTCGTGTGACCCCGTGTATGGTCACTTATGAGAAAACGTGTTGGAGAATACGATCTCAAAAAAGTATATATACAAGTAATATATGGTGTATCGCAAAGGTTTTTGTGGTAAAATCACGCACCTAGCAGTATGTCGCTAAGTGAGGACAATATTGGTGGTGGACCGTAATGGGCCTATAAGGTTTATCATGATGTCAGAGTAGGTCGTCCCATGTGTGATATCACGCCCCGATCTCAACATACGTCCAGGATTGACACATGATGTCACCAAATACCCGTATCTCAAACATACCCCACCTCCGGGATATGGGCAAAGCACAACTCGAGATCAAAATACGTAATAATTTTTTGTATACTTTATAGCTGCATCTAACCTCCTTGTTAGACTACCTACATACCATAAATAGGGATCAAGCCATTTGTAATTCATTATTCACTACACTTGAACAATCATCACATAAATCACTATGTCTCAACATAATACCACACAACAGGCATGCAACATCACGAGGAACATTCGACGAAGCGGAACATAATCTCTAGCCATATTGGTCAACAAGTCTAATCATAATGACAACAATCACAACCAACATCATTCCACAATCACATCAATCATTAACACATATCATACATCGAAATGCAGGGGTAGAGCAACATAGTTCGGCTGAAGCCTACATCTCTTAAACTGAAATCAAATCCAAGGAACCAACAAGTCAAATGATGCAATTTCGGACCACTCAACGAAATCCATCAACAACGGGTTCCGGATCACTCAATGGAACCAAAACACCAAAGGAGATTCCGGACCACTCAACGAAATCCAAACCAAGATATGATTCCAGAACACTAAACGGAATCACGGAGTAGAAGGGATTCCAAACCTCTCAACGAAATCCGAGTGAATACAATTCCGGACCACTCAACGAAATTGCGAAGTACAATGCATATCGAACCACTCAATGAAATCCAAGTGTAGACATTGAAATTTTAGTGAAATAAATGTTGATCAATGTATTAAAATTATAACCTTTATTCATTTCACTTACATCACACACTCATTTCACCTACAACTTCCACTTACTTTACCAACCTCACACACTTACTTCACCAACATCACACACCTATTTCACCTACAACATCCACTCACTTCACCAAAAAAAATGGATGGTGGTGATTCATTCTCTTGGTCTATAAAGAGCCTTCTCCATCAAAGGAAAAGGGGAGGAATTTACATCACACCAAAACCTTGAAGCTTTGAAACTCTAAAGCTCTCAAGCTCTCAAGCAAATCCCGAAGGATCAAGAAAGCATGCTTCGTTCTTCGTCATCCTCATTCCAGATCACGCCCCAACGGCCCTTGAAGAACTTCCACCAACTCAAGATCAAGCCCCGACGGCCCTTGAAGAAAGTGTTCATCGTTCATCATCTGTTCATCCTAAGATCAAGCCCCAACGGCCCTTTGGATCAACAACCTCAACAAATCCACACATCCAATCGTTCTTCAAGATTAAGCCCAAAAGCCCTTGAAGATCCGTTCATCCATCAACCTTTAAGATCAAGCCCAAAAGCCCTTGAAGAAATCCGCACTTGAAGACCCGTTCATCAACCTTCAAAATCAAGCCCTGAAGGCCCCTTGAAGAAACTTCCTTCAACCTTCAAGATCAAGCCCCAACGACCCTTGAAGAAACTTCAAACCGTTCATCCAAGATCAAGCCTCGACGGCTCTTGGATCAATCGCACATCCACAAATCAACACCTTACAGAGATCGAATCAGAGGATTAAATTATAAAGAGATTGTAACCCCAAAATCATTAATAAACACAAATATTATTTTTGTACACATGTTCTTGTTTCAGGAATTTTGGTGTTTACACTAAGCTACATACAATTCTGGACCACTCAACGTAATCGCAGATCACAAGGGATTCCAGACCTCTTAACAGAATCCAGACGGAGCAGGGAATTGGACCACTCAACGGAACCCCAGCAGATACCCAATTTTGGATCACTTAACGAAACCAAGCAGAAGTCCAAGAACTATAGCAACGCTCGAAGTAGAAGACATGAAACAAGTACTCAAAATACAAAAGCTCAATGAAACAAGAAATGGAACAAAGCACAAGGTACACAATTAGAACGGCTTAACAAAATGATAAATGAAATAATGATACGATATGTGAAACAAGTCTTGAAGCAACAAACCCATGACAATGGGTTTATGGTCCACTACTAGCCCTCACATTTCATCACATCAGGCCAAACATACAAATCAACCACATTTCACAAGAAGTTCAATACACAAGTCAAATCACATAAAATAAACAAGCATAATACAATGTGATGCCATCAGTACGTAAACATAGATGCACATCAATCGAGGAAGACACGTCATCATGCTGAGCCCAATAAGCTCCATGGAATCTCAATAACACGCTAGAAGAACTCGGGCTAGTTGACTAAAAAGTCAACCGTTGATTAAGGTTGAGAGTAGGGTCCACAACCCTAGAAATCTAAACTGGAAGATCCGCTTATTAGATTTCTGATCCATAACTTTCCAAAGTCCATATTATGCTTCTAAAACAACATACTGAAACTTCATTACGATCCAACGGTTGCATCTCTGCCAATTGCTAGAATTAGGTTGCTATAAACTTTTGGTTTTACAAACTTAGAAATTCAATTTGGAAAGATCAGTACGTTGGATTCCCAATCCATCAGTTCCTATGGTCCTCAAATATTACGTACTATAACGTATTAAGGTTTGATGACGATCCAACGGTCGGATCATCGAATCATAAAATGGTCAAGTGGCGTAATATTCAATACTAGGTTGAAACTATTGAAACATATCAAACGGTTATCAAATTTGAAATCAGAATATCAAATTTGAAATCAGAATATCAAATTTGAAATCAAAAGGCAACGTCGGCCCATTGACCACGCATCGTTGCGGGTGGCGATTTCCGGCGGAAAGAAACCCTAAATTCCGACCAACACTAAAATTCACCAAATTTTGCAAAAATATACAATCCTAGGTCGAAGCCTAATTCAGCGGGGAAGTGGCCAGAAAAATCCCTCGAAGCGTCAGAAACCCTCGATTTGGGTAGTTGTCAACTTGGCTCCATTAATGCTCCGACGCCCCCAAACTTGGTTGGGCTTTGTTCCTTGTCTCAAGATGAGTGGTTTAGTGGTGATCGGAACTTGCAAAATCGGTGGTTCTCCGTTGGGACGCCCACGGAACTAGCGAGTTCCGTTCTTTATTAAATCGAGGTCAATTTGACTGGATTTTTGGTGTAAATGGAAAAGGAAAGGTCATGGAGGAATTTGTAGGTAGTGGCCCGGTGCAATTTCACCCAGAAACTGGGTTGGGTCACAGGTTAAGGGAGGGGCTCTAATTCCCTCCTCCCTCATTTTCCCTCATTCCCCTTTCCCATTGGTCCTCACTTTTTCTTTATTTCCTTATTGGCCTCCCCTAATCCCTCATTTCTCTTCTTTTCTTTCAATCCTAACCATCCTTCTCTTTCATTTCTCCATCATAGTCATCCACGTGGCTCTTCCAAATTTTCTGGAGTATTTCACATTATGATCAAATGACCATTTCACCCTTAACATTGCTCGTTCATATCTTATTCTTTAAAACTTCATTTTATGAATGGTTTGCACCTACGCGTTCGTGAGATCGAACACTA